CCTTTCTTGATCAAACCACCTAATTTCTAGATTCCTCGTAAGCTCTATATCGTAATTCTATCACTATTTAAATGTTTTAGGGTTGTATTCTAGGTGAAATAGGGCTGTAAAACTCTCAGAAGATTCAAGTCTTTGCCAGTCAATAGCAACTATTTTCCTGTAATTCCTGGCCAACCAAATCTACTTTTTTCAACCAATTAAATTCCAACATATATACTAAACATGATTTTGAGGTCAATTTCATGTTTTGGATTAGTGCAAGGTGAATAGAAATATGTAAAAAATGTTAGTTCGCACAAAAAAAAAAACCATATAAAAATGCTGAAAACCAAAATAACAATAGATGAAGTTTAAAAAGTTTACAACAAAAAACCACATAGAAAGTTTGGTTTGAATTTAGGTATGAACCCAAATCAAAGTATTATTTAACGACAAATAACTCAAGACTAAGTTTTTAGTTTTTGGAGCTTTTAAATTTAATAGAGGTTATGAGATGGCAAATGCTTCAGTCACACTGTAGGCACGACCTTGTTTAGGAGGTCGACATAGATTTCTTTCCTTCACTTTAATTGGAACCAGTTTCACTAATTTGATGCATATCACCATTAAGATCATTCGCTACTTGCATATCTACAAAAACAAAAACAAACACAGTAATGTCATATAATTCTTAGTTAACTTTGTTAGAAATATAAATATTAAACAGTATACGCTAAATTGAAAACCAAACAATACAAACCACGTCCAAAGTTTTTAAAATCTTTTCTTTCAAGTTTGTGAAAGTTAATGTTGTTTTCTACCATTAAATTCGAAGGTATAACACAAATATGCTCTTGTTACGAAAATATATTAAACTATATAACCATCCTCACCAACTTCAGTAATGTCAGGGTCACTATCCGATATATTAATAACTTCGACTACGTCATCATCACCCTATAAAAAGAAAAGAAGACAATGGTTGATAATGCAAAWTATACATTTTCATGCATAAATACATGCTAAATGAATAATATGAGTTCGTAACTAACCGTATGGTTGG